TTTTGGTGGGTTCCACAGCAAGGGTAGGAGCTGGGATGGAACGGGAGACCAGCACACCATGCATCAGTGGAGGGCCCCAGAAAAGCAGATGAATAGAGACCAGATCAGAAGGAGATGAGGACTTTTCTCCCCATTGACAGTGACTAGTTACCTTAGAATCTCTGCCTGCCTGTCCCACCTCCCCTGAGATCCAGAACCAGACCCTCCCCCTTTCATGTCTCCTGCGGAGAGAAAAAGAGATAAAGTTTTAAACTGGATAAACTCTTAATAACCAAAAAGAACTTTAAAAAAACTATAGAATCCGCTCAATATGTCATCCGAAATGGGAAAGGATGATTAGATAGTGCAGTAAAAGAAAAATCTACCAAGTCCTGACTAGTCAACAAACTATTGTTTCCAGAGATAACATTAACTCACAAGGACCAGGATTTGCCATCATGGAGACAGTCAAGAACTGAACGCCTATTTCTGAATGGGTCTTCTGTCATGTCTACTAATAATTCAGCTCTAATTCTCAAAAAGTTAAGGAAAAGCAGAGAAAGAGACAGAGATAAACATAGAGAATAATAAAGCAAGCATAAGTAAATGTTAACATGTGGGGACTCTTGTCTCTAGTGGACCTACGAAGAACATGTGAAGATTTTTGCACTGTTTCTGCAGATTCTTGTAAGTCTGAAGTTATTTCAAAATAAAATGTAAAAATATTACATAAAACATATGAAAAATAATGAAAAAATCATGAGATTTCACATGGGAATTCAGATTTCTAATTTTTCTTGAAGAACAAGAATGTGTGACAACCATCAGCTTGAGGAAGAGACAGCTGACCCCTACAGGTGGGACAGGGCACTCCAGTTTACTCCAGATCTACCACTTCCTCCTGACTCCCTAACCCTGAGGTAAAGAGACATTTATCATTTATTATTGTACTTGTATTGTTGTTGGCCTTATACTGGGCCTGCTGGCTCATTCATGTTACCTGCTAGATCCTTGTACACATTGAAATTTGCAACCCCTAACCTTGGCCATTGACTCCAAGTCCCTATCTGGACAGTGCCAAGTGAAGTAGCTAGACCACATGGGATCCATGAGAATTGCTTGGACCACAGGCAGGAGGAGGGCTGGCTCTTTGTTTTTTGAGGCATTTCTCTGTGCCTCCCCAGAGCTCACCACTTCACCTGTGAAAACTAGAAAAGAAAATAAGAGTCTTTCGTGTTAAGGTCTGCAAAAGGCTTTCTGAAGTCCTCTGGGCCCTACCTGTTCTCCACTAAATCTTCCAAAATTAAAATCTCAAAGAGTACTGTGATGGTTTATTTTATGTATCAACCTGTGTCGGCCACAGTTCCCAGATATGTGGTCAAACGTTATTCTGGTTATTTCTGTAAGGGTATTTTTAGATGAGATTAACATTTAAATCAGTAGACTTTGAGTAAAGCAGATTGACCTCCATAATGTGAGTGGGCTGCATCTAATCAACTGAAGGACTGACTAGAACAAAAGACTAACCTCCCTGAAGCAAGAGGGAATTATGCCAACAAATGGCCTTTCAACTTGAACTACAGCATCAATTCTTTCCTGAGTATTCAACCAGACAGCCTTCAGACTCGAACGACAGATTTTGGACTAGCCAGTCTTCAAAATCATAAGAACAAATTTCTTAAAATAAAAAAGTACGTACACACACACACACACACACACACACACACACACACACACACTATTGGTTATGTTTTATCTAGAGAGTCCTGATAGTACAGCTACCAATTAGTTAAGGCTAGAGAAACTTAATGTTGCAAAGGTCTAATATTTATTACAAAATGGAATTCAATATTCAAACAGAGAGTTGTGGTTGCTAATACACAGTCTGGAACCAGAAAGCCCATGTTGGAAACCAACTCTGCCACTTACCAGCTGTGTGATCATGGATCAGTTCCTTGACCTGCCTTTGCCTTAGTTTCCTCATCTGTAAAGTGGGAATATTAACAGTATCTATCTCATAAGGTTGTTATGAGGATTAAATGATATTAAAATGTATAAAGCTCTGAGAACTGTGCTTGGTACATATTACCTGCTGTATTTTTGTTAAAGTAGAATTGAAATCTTTTTTTTTTTTTAATTTATTTTTTAGGTGAGACAATCCTCACAGATTGCAAGGAACTAGTCATCTTACAATCCCTTATTTTTTTATTTTTTTATGCCTACAGCACCTGGTCTTTCTAGGTGATCTCCCATCCAAGTACTAACCAGGCCCAGCCCTGCTTAGCTTCCAAGATCAGACAGGATCAGGCTTGTTCAGGGTAGCATGGCCATAGACGGAGTCTTTTTTCAAATTCTACTTCATTGCTTTCTCTTCATACCTCTTCCATTGGCCAAAGTGTATGATCAAGGGCATCAGAGGAGTGTGGCAGAGCTTGAGCAAGCCCACAAAAGTTTGGCAGAGACCACCCATGTGAACCACAGCAGTCAGGGTAAGATGGCCCTTATAGACACAACTTATGTCTATGTCTTGGGTGTGTGAGCTATCTACCCCAAGGAGTCTGTGTCCCTTCCTCCTTTTGGAGTCTCTCCTACCCTTTTCTACCCCAGGACAGGGTTTAACATACAGAAGGAGAACAAGGGAAAGACATTCAGCACAGGTCAGATGGGATGGGGTGTATTGGTTGGAGTCCTAGCAGAAAGCAAGAGAAAGAAATAAAAGGCATCCAAATTGGGAATGAAGAAGTCATTTTTTGCAGATGATATGATTCTCTATATGGAAAAGCCTAAAGACTTCACCAAAAAACTCTTAGAAATAATAAACAAATATAGTAAAGTTGCAGGATACAAAATCGACATCTAAAAATCCGTAGCATTCCTATACACTACAAATGAAATTTCAGAAAAAGAAATGAAAAAAACAATTCCTTTTGCAACTTCAACAAAAAGAATAAAATACCTAGGAAGAAACTTAATGAAGCATGTAAAGGACCTATACACTGAAACCGTAAGACATTATTAAAAGAAATTGAAGACGACACAAAGAAATGGAAAGATAATTCGTTTATGGATTGGAGGAATCAACATAGTTAAAATGGCCATATTACCCAAAGCAATATACAAGTTTAATGCAATCCTCATCAAAATCCCAATGGCATTTTTTAAAAAATATAACAACAACAATAATAACAACAACCAAAAAAAAAAAAAAACATCGGATTTGTATTGAGTCACAAAAGACCTCAAATAGCCAAAGCAATCCTGAGAAAAAAGAACAAGGCTGGAGGTATCACACTGCCTGACTTCAAATTATACTACAAAGTGACAATAATCAAAACAGCATGGTATTGACAGAAAAACAGACACACAGACCAATGGGACAGAATTGAGAGCCCAGACATAAACTCCCATATATATGAGCAAATAATTTTTGACAAAGGAGCCAAAAATATACAATGGAGAAAAGAAAGCCTCTTCAATAAATGATACTGGGAAAATTGGAAAGCCACACGCAAAAGAATGAAACTAGACTGCTATCTGTCACCATACACCAAAATTAACTCAAAATGGATCAAAGACCTAAATATAAGACCTGAAACAATAAATTGTGTAGAAGAAAACATAGCTACTAAACTCATGGACCCTGGTCTTAGAGAGGATTTTATGAATTTGACCTCAAAGGCAGAGGAAGTAAAAGCAAAAATAAATGAATGGAACTGTAGCAAAATAAAAAGCTTCTGCACAGCAAAAGAAACCATCCACAAAACATAAGGAATCAACTGAATGGGAAAAGGTATTTACAAGCAATGCCTCTGATAAGGGATAATGTCTAAACTACACAAAGAACTCATACAACTGAACACCAAAAAAACAAACAATCCAATTTAAAAATGGGCAGAGCACCTGAACAGACTTTTCTCCCAAGAAGACATACAAATGGCAAACAGACATATGAAAAGAGCATAACCCCCTAGATATTAGAAAAATGCAAATCAAAACCACAATGAGATACCATCTCACACCTGTTAGAATGGCTATCATCAACAAGACAAGTAATAACAAGTGTTGGAGAGATTGTAGGAAAAAAGAAACCCTTATACACTGCTGGTGGGAATGTAGATTGGTAGAGCCACTATAGAAAACAGTATTATGATTCCTCAAAGAATTAAGAATAGAATTACCATATGACCCAGCAATCCCTCTCTGGATATCTACCCAAAAAACTTGAAAACACTTACCCTCAAAGATAAACGTACCCTAATATTTATAGCAACATTGTTCACAGTGGCCAAGACATGGAAACAACTGAAGTGTCCTTCCTTAAATGAATGAATAAAGAAGATGTAGTACACACATACAATGGAATATTACTCAGCTATAAGATGACATACTGCCATTTGCAACAACATGGATGGCTCTTGAGATTATCATGCTAAGCGAAATAAGTCAGACAGAAAAAGTTGAGAACCATATGATTTCACTCATAGGTGGGATATAAAACTGAAAGCAACAAACAAACAGAAACTCATGGACACAGAGAGCAGTAGGGAGAGGGGAAGGTGGGTAAGGGTAAAGGCGGTCAAATATATGGTGATGGAAGAAGATTTGACTTTGGGTGATGAAAACACAACACAATATACAGATGACGTATTATTGAGGTGTACACTTGAAACCTGTATAATCTTATTAATCAATGTCACCCAATAAATTTAATTTTAAAATAATAAATAAATAAATAGATAGATAGATAGATAAATAAATAAATAAATAGATTTAGATTAGCCATAAACTAAAAAAAAAGAAAAAGAAAAGAAAACAGCACACTCAGAAGGGATTTTTAAAGAGATTTTTTAATGAAAAGAAAATATATTTACAGAGGTACAAGTAAGGCCTAATACTATCAGGAAACCATTACCATCCCTAAAACTGAAGTGGCAGAGAGATGAAATGGTGTTCCCTGGGGTGGGAAGCAGGGAGGGGTGGGAAGTAGGGTGGACTACTTAGGAGATGGAGCTATGATACCAAGGCCACCAAATATGAGCTGTAGTCATGGAAGAAAACAGCCATTGCCACACCATGCAGCATTAACTATGTTTGGTTGCATAACAAATTATTCCAAAACCTAGCAGCTTCAAATAGCATCATTTCTCTTTTTTGTTAATAACATCATTTCTTATCTCACAGTTGCTGTGGGCCAAGAATCCAGTCACAGTCCTCCACTCAGAGTCTCTGACAAGCCTGCAATGAAGGGATCATCGAGGCTGCAGTCACCTCAGGCCTCAACTATAGAAGGGTGCACTTCCAAGTTCAATCCCATGATTGTTGACAGGACTCAGTTCCTCATAGACTGGTGAACTGAGGGCCTCCATTCTTCCATGACTGCAGGATAGGGCTGTCTTCAGTTCCTTGCCAAGTGGACCTCTCCTTAGGGCAGCTCACACCATGGCAGCTCACTTCACTGGGAAGCTGAGAAGATCTAGAGAGAGAGAGGAAAGAGAATAAGCAAGACAAAAGTCAGAACCTTTATAACCTACTCTGGGAAGTGACAGACATCTCATCACTTTTGCCATTTTCTATTTGTTATAAACAAATCACTAGGTCCAGCCCAAGCTTAGACAGAGGAAATTTCTCAAGACGTGAGTACCAGATAGTGGGGATCATTGGGAGCCCTGTTAGAAGTCTACCTATCATACATGCTAAAGCAGGGAGGGAGCAGGGAGAACAAATGCCTTGACCAATCCCTCTTCCCTTCCTCTGATGTCCACAAGTGTCTCCCATGGGCCAAACCCAACCAGAAGTTAGAGGGCAAGGAACCCAGGTGACGAAGCCCACAAAGGTCATCCTTCCAGACCAGGGCACAGATGGTCAGAGAACAGATCTGAAGCAGAGAGGGGTGGGAAGTAGGGTGGACAGAGAACGACCTGTACATGAGAAAAGACACAGATGGGCAAACTGACAGACAGTCACCATGGGGATCAGGTACCCTAGAAGACAAGACAACATAGAGGGCAGCCCCTCACCCAGATACATGGAGCGCGTCTCTTTTCTTTTATATATGTATCCAATTCTTTCCCAGACCCTATAATTTGGAGTAACATTGGACCTGGGATCTGTTATAAAGTTATGAAAATTTTCTGTAGAACAATTGTCCCTGCCTTTAACCTCACCCTCATCTATGTCAATACCTGTCTCTTTAATCCCTGAGGCCAACGAGAGGATTGGGAAAGGAAAACGAATGAGCAGTGACATTTGGAAAGACCCTGCTCCATGACAGCTCAAAGGCTGATGCCAAAGTTCTAATTTCCTCTTAGAAAAAACTTGTGCAAATATCAGTTTGCTTCTGTTGGCTTTTTTTAACGTGCTCACTAGACTGATTGGGATCTAGGGCCCAAGCTTCTCCTCCTATAACATACACATGGACACACACACGTACACACACCTTGCAAGGCACTCATGCAGTTAAAACTTTCTCCTGTCCCTCAGCCCCCCTACCCCTGCCCCGCATCCAGTTAAGGTCACCATTACTTTCAAGGCTCCCAGACCCAGACCCTCAGGTGGAAGTCAATTGCCAGGTCCCATTCCTGTGTTAATTAAATACATTCCACTTCTTCACTGGTCACCATTAGATGCCAGATAAATCTCAAATATCAAACCACACAGAGAGCTGGTAGGGGAGCCATTGCTTTAACCCAGGTCTCACAGCCCATATCTGCAGCAGATCAGCTGCCTGAATGTAATGGTCGCCTTACCTGGAGGTTAAAGATGAGTGAAATGGCCTGAAAAGACTCACTCCTTGTGCCTGCAATGTCCCACTCCATTCATTTTTTCCCCTTTATCTCCTGAAGATATTAATGCTCTGAACCCAGGCACCCAAATGTCCTTATGTCAAAAATTCCCTGATATTCCCTTTCCACACCAATCTTTAGAGCAGCCATGAGGCAGAGAAGCCTGCATGACCACCTGGGGCCTGGTGGGAACAAACATCCAGCAAATGGAGACTCACAAATTGGTATCTAGCATACTATTCTCCACCCATCGACCCCTCAGTTGGCTCCTGTTTCTCCTCAGCCCCGTTCAGTTTGGCATTTAGCACCAGCCTGAAAAAAATCAAACCTACCCAGAAAGATGAAACCTCTGCAAAGCTCAAGATTCCCCTCATAACTCCATAGAAGTGTATTGTCTATAAAACGCTTTACCATATGTTATCTCACTTAATCTCTACCTACCACTGTCCTTAGACAGGTTAGGAACCATAACCCCTAGGTGAGAAATGAAAATCCTAAAATCTTTCAGTATATGACAGTACATTCTCTTATGCATATGTCAAAGCCAGAACTCAAAATCCAGGCCTCTTGAGTCCCAGCTCAGAGGAGGCAGCAATCCCAAGTTAAAGAGAAGTATCTGTTGTTCTGGATTGTTAACACCATGGATCAGCTCCCTACTTGAAGGGAGAACCAAGTTTCAACTTCAGTGAACTACCATCTTCCTTTAACCAGGAGATCCTTTTGGAGTGTGGGGTCCCATTGGTTGGGCCTGAAGACAGAGTGACAGAGGCCTATGTGGGGCTGGAGGAGTTCCTTCTAGAGAGAAGATAACTTTAAGAATAGGAGTCAACTCCTGAGAAGGCACATGTGCCTTCAAAGCCATCCCCTCAAGAGGAGAAAGGAGCCATGAAATCAGCCCCCAAATGTCCTAAGTGTGGCCTCCCTAGGTAATGGGACTCACTTAGCCTGCAGAAATCTTCAAGCCCCTCTACTGAATCCTATGGAGTTGGGCAATGTGATCTTCTAAGCCCCCAACCTCCTTCTGGAGAGATGCCAGGACTAAGAGTCCTGCCCGTACCCTCAACAGACACATTCCAGAATCTCCCCAAACCCAACCTGCTCTGCCTCCAGTCCCTGAGATCCCAGAGATGTGAACGTAGAGGGTGGGTGGGGTGGAGAAGGAAGGAGAGAGCAAAGAGATGGCTGGAAGTTAACAGGGAAAGATTCTCCAGGCAAGGATGCCAAGTATCAACCAGCCCCAGCTAATCCACGTTGACTTAACAGGTGACAATCAGGAAGAAGCGGAGGAGGACCTGGAAGTCACACCCCTCCAAACTTGATTCCCATTGGCCCTTGGTATCCTTAAAAGGCCCCAGCCATCCTAGCACTGTATTCTGGACACTCTGAAGATTCTGCAGTTATACCGACTTCTCATCCTCGATCATGAGATTCACGGCTGTCCTCCTTCTGACAGCTCTGGCTGCGGCCCTCATCTCTGCCCGTGAGTATGTCCCTCCCCCTGCACCCGCCAGAGCCCCCACAGTGCAAGGTAGCCTTAGCCCCTGTCTTTTTTAGCCCCATTTTTCTCTTTCTCTCCCAGTGCTGTCCTGGATCCTCCTGCCTCTGCAAGTGACTCCTGTACCCAATTCTCCATAGGTGGCATCTTTATCGCACTGCTAGGGCCCTGCCTGCTCTCCTGGCTCATCTCTTCACACACCCTCCTTTACCCACTTGTTCCAGCCACACTGGCCTTCTTTCAGGGCCTCCGGGCCACCATATATAGCTGGGCAATTTGTTTCCTGCACAAGGATGTCAGGCAGGAGATGGTGAGGGCTGAAGCCTAGTCCACGTTCCACTTGCCAGGCAACTCACCCTGCCCATGGCTGTCTCTCCAGATGCTTTTCCAATTGCAAAAAAGCACTATTCAGGCCAAGACTACCCTGCTGTTCCTCAAACGCTGGAAACTTCTCTCTTTCTCTTCCCTCTGCTTAGAATGCTTTTCCTCTCTCAGCCTGTTCGTTCCCTTCCCCAGCCAGCTCTGAATGTCACCTGACCAATGCTATCTCATCTGTCAAATCCCAGTTTAGGTATGAATTCCTCAAAAAAGCCTTCCTCAAAAAAAATCGATGTCTAACCCTATGCTATATATCTGTAAAAAATACAAAATAATATTGAATATCAACTGTACGTGAAAAAAAATTATGTAGGATAAATTAGACCCCACCTGCCCTTGTCTCACGGTGCTGCGCTTGTCCTTCTAGCACCATCATCACACTGGTAACTAAAGAATTATGTAATAGAACATAAGCTCTGTCCAGGCAGGGTCTTGTCCACCTTCCTCATCATTGAACCCCCTTCACTTAGCAGACAGCCTGGCATAGACATGGGGTTGGAAGAATAAGGGGAACGAAGGCTGGGATCCGCCCACAAATCACTCGGGTGTGGCCCAGTGGCCCCTGCACTGTTCCCCTCCGCCACCATAGAGCATGGCCAGCTCCCTGGCTCAGTCTTCAGGCTCTCTCACAGGCCAGAGGCAAGTCAGGAGGAGGGTAGTTTTCACAAGAGTGTTACATTTTTCTGAGGAGAACCTGCTTCAAAAAAACTGCAGGAGGAGTTAAACATCAGAAGGAACGTCCTGGTGTGGTGGAAGGACACGTTCAATCAGCAGAGAAATGCATCCCCCTGTGTCCACAGATGTTCCTGAGAGCTCAGGACTGGGGATGGGAGGGAGGGAGGCTCACTGCAGATCAGGTTTTGTCCTCACTGTCATCTCTCCCCCACAGAGATCAGTCCTGCCCAGAACCCTATAAACGGTGAGTCCCTCTTCCCCACTGGTCCCTACTCTCAGGGGAAGGTTGAACAGCTCGGGTGTCAGTAGAAGCTAGGAGAGGAATCCAAGGGCAGGGGATCTGGGTCCTGCTCTTGGTGGTAATTGGAAGAGCATGGGTTGGGGTGGGGCAAGGGCAAGGACAAAATGAGAGAACCCAGGCAGGCAAGGTCAGTGGGAAGAATGGGGGAATGTCTTGTTGTGAATAAAAGAGAGAAAAAGATGAGATTTAACAATAAGGGAAATGTCCCACACAGTATTAATACCTTCACTCACAAACACCTCTCATAACTCCCAGCTCCCTAGCAAGGTGCCCACTATCTGGCTTCAGACCCCATGTCCAACCCTTTTTCCCCTGCCTCTCCTTTATGTACCACCTACGTCCAATAAATTGAGCTTTTTTCCATTCCATACATCCGTCCCGCACATGCCTTCCACTGAGCTCTTCTTGACCCCAAGGAAGCCCCTTTAGAACATTCTCACTATCAAAATCCTGCCTTCAGGACCCAGCTTCTCTCTGCTGTAATTCCTGATCCCCCCCACACACACACACATCCCAGCCCCAATCCCATCCCAGCCCTGCCCATGAGAAGTGCTCAGTCCTGTCCATCTTCCAAGAGGTGCTGTCTTAGTCCATTCGGGCTGCTACCAAAAATAACCATAGACTGCCTTAAACAACAGAAACATATTTCTAACAGTTTTGGAAAGTACGAGTCCGAGACCAGGGTGCCAGGATGGTTGGGTTCTGGTAAGGACCCTCTTCCAGGTCGCAGACTGCCAATTTTTCATTGTATCCTCTCATGGCAGAAAGACAGGGAGGGTCTTTCTGGGGTCCCCGTCTACAAGGGTACTAATCCCATTCACAAGATCTCTACCTCATGCCCT